TTCCCTCTCCTCACCTGCACTCTAGGATCGACCAGCATTGTTTCAATGCATATTCTGGAAGCACAGAGGAAAGAGGGTTGAAGTCCCACCGTTATGAAAAAGGTGCTCTTGTAAGCCAGGCGAAGAAGGGGTAAGGCTCTTCCTGGTCAGCAGGGGCAAGGCAGGTGCGTGTGGGAGGGTGAGGGCGGCGGGAGATGCAGTGGGAACATTTGGTTGGGACTGAGGCACTGTTCTGCTTAGGCACTGTGTGGGCAGAGGCAGCGCCTGCACAGGAAGAATTCAGATAAAGCCGTAAGGCTGGAAGAGGGTTTGGGGAATGGCTTTGAAGTCATGTTTGTTTTGCAAGTTCTTTGTTTTTGTCAAGATTTGCATGTTATTTGGGTAGCTGTAGGAGGAGGTTTTTGGGGTGTTAAAGTGCACTCTCTCACTCCTCCGTCAGTCCTACTACTGCCTGTAGATACACAATCACCTCAAGTTACTATCAGGTCACTAGGAATGGGCAAAGTCTAGATTAAAACCATTACGCACCTTTGGAACAGAAAATATTTTAGGTCCCCTTCCTTCTCTGTAACTAATAACCAATGCAATATAAATGGCAATGTATGAAGAAGTCCACATATTTTTTTTTTTTTTTTTTTTGAGACAGAGTTTCGCTCTTGTTACCCAGGCTGGAGTGCAATGGCGCGATCTCGGCTCACCGCAACCTCCACCTCCTGGGTTCAGGCAATTCTTCTGCCTCAACCTCCTGAGTAGCTGGGATTACAGGCATGCGCCACCATGCCCAGCTAATTTTTGTATTTTTAGTAGAGACGGGGTTTCACAATGTTGACCAGGATGGTCTCAATCTCTTGACCTCGTGATCCACCCGCCTCGGTCTCCCAAAGTGCTGGGATTACAGGCTTGAGCCACCGCACCCAGCCAGAAGTCCACATATTCTTATTTTCCCCTCAATGACTAGTCAAGTGTGACATTTTAAAACTGATACTTCACTGGCATCAGAGCTCCTGGGCTGTGTTTGATCAGACTCTTGGGATCTGGCTCCGAAGCACATCCTTAATTTGTATGGATTTTGTCAGAGTCTTCTTCTTGAAAGGCAGTGTTTGGGGTCTTCCAAGGCACGCTGAGCTCTGTTAAGCCCCTCTCACACACAAAGCACGTAAGGCAGAAGGAACCTGGATGTCCTTTGTGGTCAATGGCGAGGCACGGGCCTTCACTGTGGTCCTGAATCCCTCCCCGAATCAGACCCTTGGTGATCTGATTCTGCAGCTCTTCCCATCTGCCAGTGGTGTCCGTTTCCCTAGCTCAGGAATCTAATTGGCCTTTCAGCTTGCTTTCACCAATGAAAGCAGCAGAAGGGGCCAGTTATGAACCTAGGCCTTAGGACACCTTGGATGTGGCTTTACAGTTCACATGGCCTTGGTAGCAGCCGGCCCCCAGTGGAGCTGGAAGTTGGCTGCAAAAGCAGGGGTAAGCCCGGTGGAAAAGGCTGACTTGTGTGCACCCAAATTTCTATGTTGAAGTCCTAACTCTCAGTGCCTCAGAATGTAACTGTATTTGGAAATAGGGTTTGTGTGTAGATAATTAAGTTAAAATGAGACCCTTAAGGTGGCCCTGATTCAGTAGGACTGGTGTCCTTGTAAGAAAAGGATATTTGGATACTGACACCCACACACACATAGGGACGAACACACAAACACACACACACACAGAGGGATGAACACACACACACAGAGGGACGAACACACACACACACAGGGAGGAACACACACACACACAGGGACAAACACACAGGGACGAACACACACACACAGGGATGAACACACACACAGGGACGAACACACACACACAAAGGGACAAACACACACACAGAGGGATGAACACACACAGGGACGAACACACACACACACACACAGGGACGAACATACACACACAGGTACAAACACACACACACACAGGGACGAACACAGGGATGAACACACAGAGGGATGAACACACACACACAGGGATGAACACACACATGGACGAACACACACACACAGGGACGAACATACACACACACAGGGACAAACACACAGGGACGAACACACACACACAGGGACGAACACACACACACACACACACACACACAGAGGGATGAACACACAAAGATGCAGGAAGAAGATGACCATCTATGAACCAAATCAACCCTGCTGATAACCTGAGGTCACACTTCCAGCCAGGACTGAGAGAGGTAATTTCAGGTTATTTTTCATGCACTCACAGTATTGCTACCTTCTCTGCGTCTAGACACGTGTCTCCCAAACATTCTTATGCATAGCAATCTCCATTCCTAAATCCATCACCTGGTAATTGATTCATTTTCAAGAGGTGATACCATAGAATCTTTAAGTGAGCATTCTATTCCATTCTCCAGGCTCCCTGTGCTCAGGTGATCTTCAGCCCATCACAGGCCCTAGCCAGAAAAGAAAGAAAGTGTATTTCTTTCCTCCACTGTAACGGGAACCAATGGAAATGTGCTGTATTGTGGAAGAAAATGTGCATTGGCTGCCATTCTGGAAGCACTCAGGGGTTTCCAAAGGCATTTGCCAATGCCTGTGGAGAGGGAAGTACAGCTCAGCTCCTCAGCTGGGAATGTGAACCCCGTGCTGTGATCTGTGTGAATCTGTACCATGCTGTCAGTGGTTCCTGGCTTGCAGGACAGCCTCAACTCTAAAACTGCCAGATTCTGTACTGTCTGCCCCAAATGCTGACCCTTAGCTCCCTCCCTGCACCCCAGCTTCCAATCCCTGCTAAAGAGATAGAGGGAGGTGGAGATTCCATAACAGGAATCTCTGCAATGTTGCATGAATGTGAAGACAAGCCAGCACACAGCTCCTACTCGCCCTGGGCACAGAAGGGCAGGAGGCACTGGGCAGAGAGAGCGGACAGGACTTGGGGGACTGGGACCCTGATAGGCCACTGAGCTAGATCCTTGGCCTCAGGAAGCCAGCATGGTGGGCAGGCTCAGTGGAAGAGGAGGCAGAGAATACACAAAACAGAAGCCAGAAAATAACAGCAACAGGAACGACCCCAATGCCTCCAGTGTCTGTGCTGCTTTACGAGGCCCTGCCTGAGCATGTCATAGACGAGACCCTCTGTGCCACCCAGGGGTTTTTACTCCTGTTTTACAGAAGACAGGGGTGAATTTGAGGATAACTCAGTGACCTGCAGGAAGGCCCACTGCGAGTGAGTGTCAGAGCTGGGAACCTCACACCATGCTTTGGCTCCCAGGCCAAGCCCTCTTCTGTATCCTGCACTTTCTCCCAGCCTGAGAATGAATCATATGGGAAATGAGCCCTGGGGACAGGTGCCTTCTGTTAGGTGGTTATGTGCAAGGCCTAGTCCCAGTGCTAACCAGATCTGCTGTCCTGAAAGCCTGGATCGTTCCCTTCACTGTCTCCCTGGTAACTCGGTTCTTACTCCAGGGAAACAACCCTCCGTCTAAAGAGATATTGGAGGATGTTTCAGTAAGTTAAAAAAAATGATAAGAAAATCCCTTGAGTTCATATTATTTTGATCTCCTCCCTAATGCTCAGATTTATTACTTATCTCTAGACCCGGAGCCTTTGTCAAAACGCAGCTTAATCCCCATTCCCTGGGCCTGAGACTCTGCACCCCTGACACTGCCTGGATTCAGGTCTTACCTGGGGCAACCTGACCAACAAAAATGCACAAGGCCAGGAGCCAAAAACAGAGAATCTTGATGGGACCAGCAGGAAAAGGCATGTGCCCCGCAGCTGAGACCATGAGGCCCGGTGGAAGAGCCTCTGTTTATGCTGCTCCTGGCTGGTTGCACAACAGATCTGGAAACGTTGCCTGTTCTGAGACTTAATTATAAAGAATGCTTCTTATCTGTGCAGGGAATGCTTTGCACTGAGCAGCTTCATTTCTACCCTTTTGTTGATGGTATTAACCATATATTTAGGTAGGATCGGCCTCATACTTAGCTCCAAGGCTGGATGCTTGGCCCACATACCTGACCATAGAGTTCAGTGCGCCTCAGGGAACGCAGCAGGGCCAGGAAAGTCTTTGGAAAACATCTGCGGACTTCTCTTTTTAAGAATTTGAAGATGACCTCTGTCATGTCCCAGCACAGAAACAACCTGTGTGGTGTTGACTTCTGCAGTGAGCTGACTTGTCACTGCAGAAGTCAGCACCAAGTGTCTACCTGGGCCACAAAGCCGGATTCTAGGACAGCTGGTGACAGACAACTCAGAATGGGAGACCAGGGACCCACAGCAGATCACTGTGATGGGGAGTCCCACATGCCAGCAACCCCTTCCCATCATACATATGCAGATGTACACACCCATAGCTGCACATCTGTGTGCACTCACACATGCACACACATGCATACCCAGTCACACCAGAACATGCATGCATGAGCATACATGCACACCTGCACACACCTGCATGCACACAAACCCTTGTACATCACACCTGCATGCACACACATGCATGTCTGCACATGCCTACATGCACACACACACATGCATGTCTGCATATGCCTACATGCACACACACACTCGTACATCACATCTGTGCATATACATACATGCATGTCTGCACATGCCTACATGCACATGCACCCCATACGCTCACACCTGAACATGCACATCCGCACATATACACACATATACCCACATGCACACCTGGCACACACCTATGTGCACGCCCCCATACACTCACACCTGCACATATACACACATTGATACCTGCACACACCTGCATACACACTTATACACTCACATACATGCAGATGTATGTACATATACACTTGCACACACTTGTACAGACACTTGCACACATGTAGATATGTGCACACCGGCACAAACCTACGTGCACACATGCACATGTGTACACTCACATACATGCAGATACACATACATGCACACCTGCACACACACATGCATGCACACCTGCACACACGCATGCATGCATGCACATCCCATACACTCTCACACATCCACATGCACACACATGGACACCAGCACACACCCGTGCCCGCACATGCACACACACATATATAGAGTCTGAGTGTCTGTTTTTCCATTTACTGGTAGGAGGGTGTCTGCAGGGAGCATCTCTGTCTCCTGCAGGAATCTCTTTTCACCCTAGCTGGAACAGGGTTAGTCCATGACTCCCTCTCTTAACCTGGGAAGCTTTCTGAATCCAACCTTCGGAGCCAAGTGGAAACTTTTTTGGGCTTTTTCATCTCTGCACCAGTTGGAGACCCAGGTGAGAGAGGTCCTGCTGGGGCCTGGCATTAAGAAAGCTTCCCTCTGGCCAGATCTATGTCCCTTCTCCTTATTAATCATTCTCTGGGTTCTTGTGACCTCAGAATTACTTGCCCCAGCCTCTGTCTAGGGCCTTTGGAAGTTCCTTCCTTGGGTTGGAACCCCAAGGTGAGACCATGCTCCCAGGGTGTGTTGTAGGCCCGAATGGTAGCCGCTGTGAGACCATGACACAGCTTAGAGGTGCAAGCCGAGGGGTCCGGTGTGGGAGTGCATGAGACCCTGGAGGCTGAGGATGGTCTTGCCTATAGGAAGAGAAAGGGGAGGGGCTGCAGGCCAAGAACCTGCCCTCTTCGTGCTGTCTGATTCTGGTGCAGGACTTTTGGGAGGCCAAAGGTCCTCCATTTCACCTGGTGGTCCAGGCTGTCTTAGGAGCACAGGAGGAGAAGGTGAGAGGATAGAACATGTTCCATCAACAGTGTGACAGTCTGATTTATAGCTGTTAAATATTAGTCACTTGGCATGGGAGTCTCTTTGTGTTCCTCTCAGAGCCCTCAAATATTTGCGGTGGGACTGAGCTGCCTGCAGGGTAAATCACTCATCCATCCCAGGGCGGGACCGCAGCTTGCGCCTGCATTGACGGTTGGGTGCAGCGTTTCTAAAACCATGGCTGTTTCCTGAGGCTCTAAACTTCAGTCTGTAAACTTCGGCTACCTCCTCACTTGGCTCTTCCCTCCGGTCAGCTGCTAAGTCTTTCCACTCAGCCAGCCAAAGGCAGACGTGTTTCTAACTGCCCGCATTCTGCTCTGATGCATTTCTCACGGCTTATCTGATCTCTGAACTGGGCCTTATCCAGGGAGCCAGAGAGGCTGGCTCCTGCACTGGAGGAGAACCACTGCCTTCAAAACAGCCCCACCCTTCACATCTTGTTCCAGGAAACTTTCCCCAAGAGGAGACCACAAGCTGAAGTCTCTCCACCTGGTTCTTTCACTCTCTTGTTTCAAGAACAAACAAGGCAAATTGCAACACCCACCGAAAAGAGTGGAGCAGGACAGAGTTGGTACTACCTCCCTCCCTGGGAACCGGGGTCCCAGCACCTCCAGAGACGTTCTACAACCTTCAGACAAAGCTTTCCGAACTTGACCATGGCCAATCCATCAACTCCCTGCTTAGCCTCAGATGTCCCCGTTATGCTCCTTGGTCTAGAAAGAGCAGTGAGTTTGGAGTGTTCCATCTGGCCTGTGTCCCCCGAAAATCTGAGACAGGTCTCAGTTCATTTAGAAAGTTTATTTTGCCAACGTTGAAGATGTGCGCCCATGGAACAGCCTCAGGAGGTCCTGAGGATGTGCGCCAAGGTGATCAGAGCACAGTTTGGTTTTATACATTCTAGGGAGACATGAGACATCAGCCGACACATGCAAGATGAACACTGGTTCTGTCTGGAAAGGCAGGACAACTTGAAGCAAAGGCGGAAGACTCAAAGCAAGCGAGGGGCTTCCAGGTCATAGGTAGATAAGAGAGAAATGGTTGCGTTCTCTTGAATTTCTGGTTAGCCTCTCCAAGGGAGGCAATCAGATACGCATTTATCTCAGTGAGCAGAGAGGTGACTTTGAATAGAACGGAGGCAGGTTGGCCCTAAGCAGTTCACATCTTGACTTTTCCCTTTAGCTTAGTGATGGCGGGGGAACCCCAAGATTTATTTTCTCAGACCTTAGATATTTCTGCTGAGTTTTCCATTCTGCAGATGTGGCACCTGGGTTCAATGAGGCTTCTGTCATCCCCTAGATTTGAGTTTTTGGTGTGTCACTATGAAATTCTAAAGATGCTGTGATAGAATCAGATTTTTGCTGGCTTTGAAGTAGGGCATCAGAGATACAGTAAGGCCAACGGATCAGGACACAGTGTCATTGAGAAGGGAGTTGGCTAGACTCACAGATTCTAGGAGGGGCACACAAAGCATGGGGTAGGGGAGTCACATGGGGAAGCCCTGGGGTTAGGAAAGGAATTGGTTAGACTTACAGATCCCCAGAGGGCACACAGAGCATGGGGGTCATGTGCCTGAGCCCTGGGGTTAGGAAGTAGAGGAAGAGAGAAGAAACTGCGGGGGAGAGCCTTTCTTGTGATTTCCATGGGAAGAACTGAGAAGACAGGGCAGGCAGGTTTAGGATTTGCTAGCGTACATAATTGCAGCAGCTCTGAGGCACAGAGGCTGTGCCTAGTCATCTGGTACTTGGTTCTGGGAAGATAGAGGCCAGTGGATAGAGACTGGAGTGTGAGAACCTCCTGAAGGAAGGAGCTGGGGATGTGGGCTCTGCATTGCTTGGTTTGCATTTGAAAGGGGTGCTCTCAGGAGAGTTGCCTACTCTCTCTAAGGATTGGCTAACTCTGAGGGGCAAGGCCCCAGATATCAAAGCATGAGAATACAGACAACAAGAGAACTGCTAATCCACTGCTCTAGCATGCCTTCCCTCAGCTGTGGCTTTGCAGTGGCTCTTAGTCGGTGGACTGTACTGCACTGACCCGCTGAAATAGGGCCCGATGGTGTGCCTTGTGTCTACCAGAAGAAAGCGGTGGCTGCGTGCCTGTTCCAGAAAGGACAGTGTGTGTCTCAGCTCAGCCCACAGCCCTCAGCCCTCAGCTCCTGTGGGGAGAGCCTGTCACGGCAGCCCCCATTCACTGAGCATGTGTCCCCGAGAGGGTCACACACAGAGCAGCCCTGAGCTCAGTCCAGAACCAGCAGCAGAGGCCACAGAGCCAACTGCGAATGGCAGGACATGCATGTCTGCGGTTTCCAGAATCGGAGATTTGGGGACCTTTGTTCTCGCAGCAAAAGGTGATGAGTGCAGACACCTGGGATTTTGGATGCGCAGGAATGTCCAAGAGCTGCTGGGGCTTCCTAGTGGACTTCTGGACCACAGGAGGAGATCTTCGAGGCCATCTTGGTCTTTGACCTCACACAACTCACCCATGCCAAGTTTACCTCGCCGGTTTTTACCTCCTGAATGTTTCTCAAATCTTTCTCCTCCTCCCTGTTCTCAGTATCTTAGGTCTGACTTCCATTCTTTCTCCAGGATTAATAAAAGACGCTCCCCCGTGGGTTCTCCACGCCCAGAATTCCCTTTGCACCTTACATCTGTACTCCACCTAGCTGTTAGAGGGATCCCTCTAGGATTCACGTCCTGGGGCTGCTGTAACAAAATATCAGAAACTGGGTGGCTTAAAACCACAATTTATTGCCTCACTGTTCTGGAGGCCACAAGTCTGAAGTCCAGGTGTTGGCCGGGCCATGCTCCATCTCACGGTGCTGCTGGGAGAGGATCCTATCTTGCCTCTTCCAGCTTCTGTTGATGGCTGGCAATCCTTGCATTCCCTGGCTTATAGAGACAGCATGTCCAGCTACACAGCCCTGTGTGTCTTCACATCATCCTCTCTCTCTACGCCCATCTCTCTGGCTCCAATTTCTCCTTTGTATAAGGATTCCAGTCCTACCGGATTAGAGCCCACTCTAATGACCCGTTACATATTGATTGTCTATGCAAAGACCCCATTCCTAAATAAAGTCACTTTCTGAGGGACTGGAATCTGGACTCGAATATCTTTTTTCTTTGGGACACAATTCACGCCATAGCATAATGTATCTGAATTTCATGTCCAAGCATGTCACCTCTTCAAGGATCCAAAGCCACCCGAGGCTCCTGATCTCGCAGGCCGTGCCCCCACCAAAGGCCGGGCTGTCGGCTGCAGCTTTGACAGCAACAGGCAAGCTCGGTCTACCTTCCCGGGGCGTCATCTTTCCTCTCAGGTTTCATAAACGGTTATCTTGGAATGCAAAGGAATGGAATAGAATGGAAGGGACACAGGCCTCTGCCTGATCAAATGCAGCTTCGAAGGTATTTGGAACAGCCAGCAGGTGGCCCCTTTGGCACCAGTGGGGCCTTTATTTTCCTTCTCCTATGCAGGTGAAGCATGCAGGGAAAGCATCTGAGAAGCTCTTAGCTAGAGGAAAAGGCCCAGCACAGTTAAACTGTGCATGGTTATCCAGTCTTAGCTCAACTCAACCATCGGCTCCCTTGCTAATGCTTTCCAATGAGGTATCATCAAATCATTCCTGCTCATGGCTTTGCTCCTGGGCTGTTTGATCCCAGTTTTTCCCTTGTCCAACAGGCCTGACTCCCAGTCAGCCCAGAGAATACCTCCTCTGATCCTCTAGGTCTTTCTGCTCTGAAATGGTTACGTTCTCCATGCTTGTAAAAGGCATCTACAACATCTTTATCTTCACATTACAATTTGTAATTGCCTTTGGAATGTGGCTGCTCACATTAGCAGGTGAATTCTTTGGAGGAAAGCAACTTTAAAAACTATTTTAAATTCTTCATGTCCTTGACATTTAGTGGAGTTCTTCCTGGGAAATACTAGACACCTAACACCTGCTTGTGGAAAGCTGGTGATGTCTTACTTCGCTACAATTAAAAAAAAAAAAAAATCTATCTTACTTTTCAAAACCTTAAAAATAATGCAAAAAGCCTTTGAGGGAAAATTACATTATTTTGTACTAATATGCAGAAGACTTATATGTATTATGAAATAATTGATTTGTTTGAATTTTTTTCATTTCCAATTAAAATAACAATCCATTTTTTATAATAGAAAAATTAGAAATACATATAAAAGGAAAATTAAAATCACAGAGAAAAATAAGTCCAGATGGATTAAGGACTTGTTTGTGAAGGCAGAAATTTAAGTTAATTTGAGTAAAGTAGTGTGCAACCTTGATTACCTCAAGTAGGACAGATTTTTTTTTTCTTTTTTTGAGATGGAGTTTCACTCTTGTTGCTCAGGCTGGAGTGCAGTGGTGCAATCTTGACTTACTACAATCTCTGTCTCCTGGGTTCAAGTGATTATTTTGCTTCAGCCTCCCAAGTAGCTGAAATTACAGGCATGAGCCATCAAGCCTGGCTAATTTTGCTTTTTTTTTTTTTTTTTGAGACAGAGTCTTGCTCCATCGCAAGGCTGGAGTGCAGTGGCGCAATCTTGGCTCACTGCAACCTCCACTTCCCGGGTTCAAGCAATTCTCCTGCCTCAGCCTCCCAAGTAGCTGGGACTACAGGCGTGCACGATCACGCCCGGCTAATTTTTGTATTTTTAGTAGAGACGGGGTTTTACCATGTTGACCAGGATGGTCTCCATCTCTTGACCTCATGATCCGCCAGCCTCGGCCTCCCAAAGTGCTGTGATTACAGGTGTGAGCCGCTGTGCCCGGCCTAATTTTGCCCTTCAGCCTGGTTGACAGAGTGTGACTCTGTCTCAAAAAAGTAAATAATTAAATAAAAATGCCCAGCTTTATAGATAGGTGTGTGAGGTTGACCTGAAAGGAAGTTTGCGATCTGCATTTTGTGGGTTCGTGCTTGCCTGGGCCCCATGCTAGTCCCAACTATATAATCTTGCTCTGGTGCCTGCCCCTGCCCCTCCCATTCCACCCTCATCCCAGGGACTGACCCTACTCCCTCCTTTCCCCATCTCCTGCCCACTTTCCCCCTCCCTCCCCCAGCCCTGTTTCACCCTAGTCCTTCTTTGCTCTTGAGATCAAAAGAATCTGGTGAATTTAAAGTTGCAGGGCAATTAGTCATTGGGAAAAATGTAGTCAGCGAGTTCTTTTTTTGGAAAATTAAAAAATGGAAAATCGGTCATTCAGAGATTTGACTTGGAGCCCTGAGGAAGAGACTTGGAGCCTCAAAGACGGTAGTGGCAGGTGAAGCCCTGGGTTGCCCTTACTGGCCACTAGAAGGCGGCCCTGAAACGGCGAAGATCTGGATCCTGCAGAAACCAGCTCTTCTTCCACCAAACCTTCTGTAAAGAGCAGGTGCCTGAAGCTCGTGGGTGTTGCATTAAAGAGTGAAATACAGGTGCTTACCTGAAATTGCAGGGCGAGGTAATAGGTGGAATCAGAGGCGTAGGACTACCTCATTAAAAAAGTTGTCATGTAAACAAGAATGGAAGGAAGAGATGGTTTTCTCTTAACAGTGGCCTGTGAAGGTTCCCTGGTAGGGGCAGTGGGTGGATGGGGGAGCCCCTGTAGCTGCAGATGGACAGATGGACAGCATGGCCACCTCCTGTGTCAGGTCCACCTTCGGAGTCTTTTCTTGTTTAGTTGGTAACAGGCTGTTTGTTGGCAAGAAGGAAAGGAAAGAGTTTTAAGAGATTCACAGAAAAACCTGGGAATGATTTAATTTTGTCGAACAGATTTGGAGTTCAAATTTGTAAAGAGCTTAACTTTAAAAGTTGCCATTCAAGAGGAATGCAGGAAAGGTTAAGGCTGCTTCATGCAGAGGTTGATTTTTACCAATCTGAAAGGTCAGACCCCCAGGACTTGGGATGTCAGTGGTCCTGTTGCTTGGTTGCTCAGGGTTTATGACCCGGTAGGTTAAAAGACTCTTATGGTCTCTGTGATTGTTTTCTTTGTTGTGACAAATGTCCAATCAGGATGATGCCTATTCAGACTAAAAGTCATGCTTCTCTTTCCTTCATACTGTTTTCTTTCTTTTCCTCTCTCCCGCCTTTCTTCCCTCTTTCTTTCTCCTTCCTTCTGTCTTTTTTGTTTTTCTTTCCATCTCTTTCTTTCCTTTCTTCCTTTCTCGCCTCTTTTTTCCCCGTCAGATTTGATGACCTTTTCCTAACATGCCACAACGTTTTAACTCATTGCATCTATTTTCAACACCAGATTTCTCCAAATTACTTCATTCAAATTCAGCCTTTTAAGGTTCTTTTTTTTTTGAGACAGAGTCTCACTCTGTCACCCAAGCTGGAGTAAAATGGTGCCATTCCGACTCACTGCAACCTCTGTCTCCCTGGTTCAAGCAATTTTCCTACCTCAGCCTCCCGAGTAGCTGGGATATTGGCACCCATCATCACGCCCAGCAAACTTTTGTATTTTTAGTAGAGACACGGTTTCACTATGTTGGTCAGGCTGGTCTTGAACTCTGGACCTCAAGTAATTCACCCTCCTCGGTCTCCCAAAGTGCTGGGATTACAGACATGAGCCACTGCACCCAGTCCATTCTCTTTTGAATTCATTCCCATGAGCCTTTGTGTTTTTAGTAAATTTGGCACTCTCTGTCTTTGTGATGTCGCCAGCCTTTGCAGACCTTCCCAGTGTGGAGCCTTTGCTCTCTGTCTTTGTGATGTCGCCAGCCTTTGCAGACCTTCCCAGTGTGGAGCCTTTGCTCTCTGTCTTTGTGATGTCGCCAGCCTTTGCAGACCTTCGATGCCCCACTCCTGTCCCAGTGTGGAGCCCAAACACACATCATGTCCTCTGTTTGCAAGCCTGGAGGGCATCCTTAGACTTGGCTAACTTGAGCTCAACTCTTGTCTGGATGTTGCTGACTGTGTGGAGTGGATTATTCTGGGATGGGAAGGGAGGAGCAGGGAGGGAGGGGCTGAGAACTGGGGTTTGTGCTGGGGTGTGTGGTCATGTGTTCCAGGATCTGTTAGTTTCTGCCAGGGTCACTGTGGAAGTGGCTGGACTTAGACCATTTCGTTGACATGTTGTCCTGTAACCACCTAGTGGGTTCACCCTGCCTGCTGCCTAGACAGAGCCGATTTACCAAGACAGGGGCATTACAAGGGAGAAAAAGTAATTCATTCAGAGAATGGAGTTTTATTGTTACTGAAATCGGTCTTCCCAGCGTTCGGGATCAGAGGTTTTAAGGATAATTTGGCAGGTATGGGCTCAGAAAGTGGGGAGTGCTGACTGGTCAGGCTGAGGATGAGATTGTAGGGGGTCTAAGTGCATTCTTGCTGACTTCCATTCCTGGGTGGGATCACAGAACTGGTTTAGGCAGATTATGAGTCTGGGTGGTGTCATCTGCCGCACTGGAATTTAGGGTCTGCAAAATGTTTAAAGCACTGATCTTAGGTTTTACTACAGTGATGTTATTCCCAGGAGCAATTGGGAGATATCAGACTCCTGTAGCCAGAGGCCCCGTAGCCAGGAAACCATCATCTTTGTATCTTTGTAGCTAATTTGTTACTCCTACAAAGGCAGACTGACCCCCGAGGCAAGAAGCGGTTTTTTAGGGAAAGGGGCTATTATCCATTTTGTTTCAGAGTTTAAACTGTAAATTGCTTTCCAAGCCTCCTTCCTCCTACACAGGGAATGAACAAAGGCAGTTTAGAGGTTAGAAGGAAGAAGAAGGGGTGCTTTAGGTCTGATCTCTTTCACTGATAAAATGTCCTCAGTTGTAATGTTGCAAAGGTGGTTTCAGTCCTGCCCCTCATTAGAGGGCCACTTGCTGAGTGAAAGGATCTCAAAAGATAGAGCTGTTGCCTTTGATGGGGGTGATGGAGGAGAGCGGCTGAGCCTGACCCCATGTCCCGTACCAGTGAGTGGGGCATCAGGAAAAATAAGGAGCTTCTTTACCAACGGGAAGCTGCTAAAAAGCCATGGAATTGAACTGAGAGACCATTGGCAGTTTTGGGAGAGATATCCATTTCGGGTTTGCTACCTGTGACAGAAAAATATCTTGGGTTCCCAAAATCACTGAGCTAAAAGGAAAAGTCAAGCTGGAAATGGCTTAGAGCCAACTGCCTCCCATTCTATTCAAAGTCATCTCGCTGCTCATGGAGATGAATGCTTATCTGATCGCCTGTTTTGGAAAGACTAATTGTAAACTCAAAATAATGCAACTGAACGGTGCCTAACCACCCTGGGCACATTCGGCAGGACTTCTGAGGCTGTCCGGTGTATCAGAGCATCACAAGTGTGCCTCCTAAACCTTGGCAAAATAAACTTCCATTCTTTCTTTCCTTCCTTCCTTCCTTCTTTCTTTGTTTCCTCTCTCTCTCTTTCCTTCTTTCTTTCTCTTTCTTTCCCTTTCTTTCTTTCCCTCCCTCCCTCCCTCCCTTCTTTCCTTCCTTCCTTCCTTCCTTCCTTCCTTCCTTCCTTCCTTCCTTCCTTCCTTCCTTCCTTTCTTTTCTTTCTTTCTTTTCTTTCTTTCTTTCTTTCTTTCTTTCTTTCTTTCTTTCTTTCTTTCTTTCTTTCTTTCTTTTTCTTTCTTTCTTTCTTTCGATGGAGTTTCTCTCTTGTTGCCCAGGCTGGAGTGCAATGGTGTGATCTCAGCTCACCGCAAACTCCATCTCCCAGGTTCAAGCGATTCTCCTGTCTCAGCCTCCTGGGTAGCTGAGATTACAGGCATATGCCACCATGCCGGGGTGATTTTGTATTTTTAGTAGAGACGGGGTTTCTCTATGTTGGCCAGGCTGATGTCGAACTCCCAGCCTCAGGTGATTTGCTTGCCTCGGCCTCCCAAAGCACTGGAATTACAGGTGTGAGTCACCGTGCCTGGCCTGGCAAAATGAACATTCTACATTAACTGACACCTGTCTCCAGTTTTTGGAGTTCACATACCTATTGAATCCCATCAGCCAAATCAGTTATAACACTTTGCTGAGTAAGTTCTCATAAAAGTTTTATAGTTCAATTGTCATGTTTGCATAATTTTAAGGAAGAAAAACAAGGGCCTGAGAGTTTTGAGTCTTTGTTGGGGAAGACACGCCAATGCGTGAAGAGGAACTGGACCCAAGGCCTCCTTCGCCCTCACCTCTCTGGATGACTTCTAGTCTGTTCAGCTTCACTTGTGACATCCTTTCTGCCACAAAGCCTTTCAAATTTCCAATTGTACCTGACTTCTGTCTTGTTCTGCATATATTCTGATTCAGCCCTGAGTCACACTCTAGGCCACAGTTGGAGGCTCTTCAATCCACAGAAGCAGCAAAAGCACCTGGTGAGAGTCAGGGGCAGATAGAGGCAGCCAAGGAAACCATGTGTGGACGGGCGGGTTGGCTCCTTTGCGCTGGCTGGCTGGACGAGGTGACTCAGGTGTCCCGACCAGGACAGCTCCAAGAGCAAGATGGGGAATAAGGAAGGGATGAGCTGAATTCTGGTTGCATGTCAGGGGCTGGCTGGGCTGGATGAGGGCCACACAAAGGTTATCTCACTGAATCCTCACGCCAGCCTGGGGGGTCCATTTATTCTACTCACCTTTATACGTCCAAGAATGCAAGAATCAGAGAAGTCAAGCAGCTTGTCCAAAGGCCTGTCTGACTGAAAGTCAGCCTGTGGTTTCCTGTACCACTGGGGGTTCAGGTGACCTGCTTTGGTGCTGGGTCATAGTTGCTGGGACAAGAGATTCTCCAGTAGCTGAAGGGAGGGGATCTAAGGGAGGCTGGGCTCACAGAGCATGGGGAGATGAGCAAGAACACAGTAGAAGCTCTGGCTCGGATGGAGGCAGGAACACTCTGGGGTGAAGTGTGTTGTGAACCACCAGATGATGGCTTCCCTAGGACAGGACATCTCTTACCACCCTCTGCCCTGGTTTCTTCAGGAGTCACTGGGCTGGTTACTAAGCTTGTTTCTCAGCCCCAAGCTCACTACTCAGTACCTGCTTTCCGGTGTGATGTCGTGTGGGCCTGGGAAGGGCCAGCTCAGCTGTGTCCACCGGGCAGAGAGGGAGCAGGGAGACTGGTAGGGAGGCTGGTGGGGAGGCTGGCAGAGGGGGGTAGGTTGATGGGAAGGTTAGCAGAGAGGGGGGAGGCTGGTTGGGAAGCTGGCGGGGGTGAGGCTGGTGGGGAGGCTGGTGGGGAGACTGGCAGGGATGTGGGGAGGCTGGTGGGGAGTGGCAGAGGCTGGCAGGGATGTGGGGAGGCTGGTGGGGAGTGGGGAGACTGGCAGGGAGGTGGGGAGGCTGGTGGGGAGTGGGGAGGCTGGCAGGAAGGTGGGGAGGCTGGTGGGGAGTGGCGGCGGCTGGCAGGGAGGTGGGGAGGCTGGTGGGGAGTGGGGAGGCTGGCAGGGAGGTGGGGAGGCTGGTGGGGAGTGGGGAGGCTGGCAGGGAGGTGGGGAGGCTGGTGGGGAGTGGGGAGGCTGGCAGGGAGGTGGGGAGGCTGGTGAGGAGTGGGGAGGCTGGCAGGAGTGGGGGAGACTGGCAGGAGGTAGGGGAGGCTGGTGGGGAGGTGGAGAGACTGACGGGGAGTTGGGAGGCTGACAAGGGTGGGGAGCCTGGCGGGGAGGTGGGGAGCTTGGTGGGGAGTAGGGAAGGCTGGTGGGGAGTGGGGAGGCTGGAGGGGACAAAGAAGGCTGGTTGTGGGGGAGGCTGGCGGGGAGGTAGGGAGGCTGGTGGAGTGGGGAGACTGACTGGGAGTGGGGAGGCTGACTGGGAGTGGGGAGGCTGGTAGGTGTGGGGAGACTGGAGGGGACGGGGAGGCTGTCAGAGAGGGGCTCCTTCTGTGGCTGCTTCCTGAGGTCTCCACAGTCTGTGAGTGGCCCCCCTTCCCCACATGTACGCCCACCTGGCAGCAGCAGTTTCTTTCTGCAGCAGCAGCTGGATTTGATTTTGCAGCTTTTGCAACCCGGAATCAGCCTCATAACACCTGGTTGGGACTCAGTAAGGGCCTGCAGAGTGAGGCAGGTGGTCCGCTGGGTCTGCATCTGCAGTTCTTCCTGCCACTAGCAAACTTCCTCTGGGCAAGTGGCAGACCCAGAAGCATAATTTACACCCAGAGGGTGGATTGCTTTTCACCCCATGTTAGGTTGCTATCAGTCTGCATGGAAAGTGTGCTGTGAATAGGACTCTGCTAGAGCCACGGGCACAAAGTGCTCTGAGACACAGGGCTGCTCTCTGGCCTGCGCTGGGGTTCAGATGTGAGAGGCAGTAGAAGGTGCAGGGTGGGTGTGCAAACAGAGGATGCTCAGGAGGTTTGGGTGGTTTAAGGGGAAGAATGTGTCAACCAGCCATAACAGAAAGGGTCGGAAACTAGTTTGCAGAGGGTTTATTCAAGTGCAAAGTTGAAGACTGTCTCTGGGAGGCACAGATTCCAAAGAATGGAAGTCAGTGTTGCCAAGTGTAGAGATTTGGGATTGCTTTATATAAACAAAGCTTAGGGGAGTTTCACAGAATTTCAGCATCTATGTGAGGCTTAATGCATAGCTCCAACGATTGGTTTACTCAAGGGGAGCCTCTTTTGGAAAGGTATATCTAACATTCCACACTGCCATCTAGGCTGAGTTAGGCTCAGGACTCTGAAGGAGGCGGTTAATCTATAACAAAGGTCTGTGATTAGATGGCAGAGGTCTGGTCTCTGGTCTTTCCTAGTCATTTACAGAACAAGAAGAATGAGAAAGA